GTAAATATAACCAAGGTCACGTTCACTTTTTAACCTGCGTCCTGGAGAATAAATAAGATAACCCAAGTGTTGTGTGATGTCACTTCCTGTTTTAGAAAACAACATGGAGTAGGTGTTTTCCTTGTTCTCAGTCGCAGCTCAGCGAGACTTGAAGCAGCAGCAGTTTAATCATATTGACTGATTCCTGTCAAACAAACACAAAACCATCAGACTGAAAAACACTGACACTAACACCTGTCCAGTCCCCAAGGTTTCAAGTTTGAATAAATATTATTTAGAGGTGTTTTTCAAAATACTTGGCTTTTTTTGGGAAATAATCTTATTAACTTTCAAGGCAGAAAGTTAGATGACAAGATTAATATTCACACCTGTCCATTAAATATAGGCCTGGTTAGCTTAGCTTAGCATAAAGACTGGAAACAGACGGAAACCTCTGATGATTTATGAGCAGGCAAGGGCGTCACTTTGTGATTAGGGGTGTGAGGAGACACTTAGCTCGCGAGACACCACTCTATGCGATATTAGGTTAACAAGAGACAAAGATATCCTCCATGCCGAGATAAATGTTGATCATTAAACACTTTATTTCCTCCATTTTGGTTAAAGTTTCTGCACCAGTTTATGGTGGAAATGTTTTTAGTTTTTGGAAAAGGAAACACAACATTTCAAAACATTTCAAATTATATAAATAGGTATAGAATCTAAGTCGGTGCAGCTCTCAGGCAGAGGCAACACATACGTAGGCCTGATTTAGTCTTCCTTCCTCTTTTGTCGTGTTCACAGGGAGAGAACGGAAAACTTGACGTTGTTAAAGTTACTAACTGGTGCTGCACATTTTTGGATCATTTTATAATCAGCAAAAGTTACCTTTTTTTGGACGATGCACATTTGTTTCTTCTATATTTTAATTGCACTGCATGCTTTGTTAATGTGCAAATAAACCTTTCTAAAGGCATTTTTTTTATTTGTTAATTAACTGCAAACTATATTTTAGAACGTTTTTTAAACAAATTATGCTTTAAAAAAGTGATGGGGACATGTCCTCAGTGTCCCCAGTGGAAATGACATCTGCATGTGCAAGACTATTTCTTGACTCTGACCTCTTGCTAGGGAACCAATTAGAAAGTTATTGACCCCATCCACAAAAAGTCCGGCACATAACCTCCCGGCAAATTGTGTTTTATTTCATGATTCAACAAACAAGATATAAGGTATTTGTCAGTGAGCTTTAGAGAAGCTGATAGGTAGATGTTGTTTCTGGAAACAGTTTCCCACTATTTCCAGTCTTTATGATAAGCTAAGCTAATCTGCTTCTGCATGTAGCTTCACATTTACTGTACAGACATGAGGGTGGTAACAATCCGAACACTCAGCCAAAAACTGAATATACACTCACTGGCCATTTTATTAGGTACACCTTGCTAGTACTGGGTTGGACCCCCTTTTGCCTTAGGAACTTCTTCGTGGCATACTTTTAACAAGGTGTTGAAAACCTTCCTCATGGACTTTGGTCCATACTGACATGATCGCATCACGCAGCTGCTTTGTCGGCTGCACATCCATGATGAGAATCTCCCGTCCCATCTCATCCTAAAGGGGCTCTGTTGGACTGAGATCTGGTGACTGTGGAGGCCATTGGAGTTCAGTAAACTCACTGTCATGTTCAAGAAACCAGTTTGAGATGGTTTGAGCTCTGTGACATGGTGCATTGTCCTGCTGGATGCAGCCATCAGAAGATGGTACACTGTGGTCATTAAGGGATGGACGTGGTCAGCAAGACTCAGGGAGGCTGTCGCGTTTGAACGATGCTCAGTTGGTACTAAGGGGCCCGAAGTGTGCCGAGAAAATATCCCCCACCACCACACCAGCACCAGCAGCCTGAACCGTCGACACGAGGCAGGATGGATCCATGCTTTCATGTTGTTTACGCCACATTCTGACCCGACCACCTGGAGGTCGCAGCTGAAATGGAGACTCATCAGACCAGGCAACGTTTTTCCAATCTTCTGTTGTCCAGTTTTGTAGTTTCCTGTTCTCAGCTGACAGGAGTGGCCCCCGCTGTGGTCTTCTGCTGCTGTAGCCCGTCTGCTTCGAGGTTGGACGTGTTGTGTTCAGAGATGGTATTCTGCATGCCTTGGTTGTAACGAGTGGTTATTTGAGTTACTGTTGCCTTCCTGTCATCTTGAACCAGTCTGACATCAACAAGGCGTTTCCAGCAGCTCACTGGATGTTTCCTCTTTTTCGGAGCGTTCTCTGTAAACCCTGGAGATGGTTGTGGTGAATATTGAAAATCCCAGTAGATCAGCAATTTCTGAAATGCTCAGACGAACAACCATGCCACATTCAAAGTAGCTTAAATCCCCTTTCTTCCCATTCAGGTGCTCTGCTTGAACTTCAGCAAGTTGTCTTGACCACGTCTACATGCCTAAATGCATTGAGTTGCTGCCATGTGATGTATTGATTAGCTATTTGTGTAAACAAGCAATTGAACAGGTGTACCTAATGAAGTGGCATACAGTTTTCTCCCAAAATGTGGAACTATTCCTTTAAAAAAGGTTGTCAGAAGTTGAAAAGAACCCACTGCTCTAAATATCTGGCACTGGGGCTGCACAGAGCAAAGCACCTAACCTGAAACTGCTGCAGGAGTTTTTAAAGGAAAGTTTTTACTGATTATTATTGAGAGAAACTAAAGGGAGAAGTTTGTCTGCGCTAAGGTGAGAAAATAAATTAAATTAATTAGCTTGGAAAAGACAAATAAATATATATATTTAAATAATATTTACAAAGGCAGAGTTTCATGGCAAGACACTTCTAAATATTTTAGATAAATCAATAAACACTTGAGACTAATAGGATAATAATAAAGGAACCACAATAACTTAGCAAAAGTCCATCTGCTGATGTAGACCGTGAGATACATGCTCACAAATCACACCACATGTGGCCTTATTAACACAGGTTTATATGATAGCCATATTACTGATAATGACGCTGATATACTGTATCAAACATGTTTGTTTGTACAGAATAATTATATTGTTATATTATTGTTTAATACTTCCTACATACATATATGTTGTGTCTGTGGTATAAACCTGTGTTTATTATGAGTTATTGGTACTTTTTTATTTCTGTGTTGTCACTGATATTACATAAAATAATATAATGATATATAATATAATAACAATCATCCTGGAAAGTCAGATAAAATAAGTGTCAGACTTGATTTGTTGGTCTTAATATTTTAACAGTTTACATGTAAATAATATTTACATTTACATTTAAATAATAGCTGAAGTGCAGGAAGATGTCATGAACCTCTGACTGTCAAAGACTTTTAGATCAAATATACAGATAAATATCCATGTTTGACTAGTTATTAACTGTAGATTAACTAGCTATGACCAAGTTAAAGTAGATTAAAGTCAGTATAAAGTCTACCTGTGTCCATGGTGCAGACAGCTGTAAGTTCAGTTTCAGATGTGAGGAGTTGTTCCTGCTGCAGGTTTACACATTAACAGACTGAACAAACAGGCTCTGCTCTTTGAGCTGCTTAAAGAGACACACACACTGTTTAGTCACCAAACATATGTGAGACTGATGGACAGACGGGAGAGATGCCATCATCCTGGTCTCTGTTGTCTCCAGATCCAGATCAGACGATGGAGATCGGTTTCATCTCTGGACAGACAGTGAAGAGGCAGGACATCGTTTAGCCTAGCTTAGCAGAAAGACTGGAAGCAAGGGGAAACAGCTAGCCTAGCTCAATTCAAAGAGAAAAACCACACATCGAAGCTGAGTGGTGACAAGTAGAGCTGCAACAATTAGTCCATTAATCGATGAGTTGTCCTCTATTTAATTAATCGTTGACTAATTTGATAGTTGCTTAATCATTCTGAGTCATTTTTTTCTAAGAAACAATTTGCAAAATCTCTGATTTCAGCTTCTTCAATGTGAATATATGTGGGGTTGTGGACAAAACAGGACATTTGAGGACGTCATCTGGACATTTGTCACAATTTTCTGACATTTTATAGACCAATATGATTAATCGTGAAAATGATCAACAGATTACTCGATAATGAATATAATCATTAATTGCAGTCCTACTGACAAGCAAGTCACTAATGCTAACGGGACCTCGGAGCTAACTTGATATCTTTTTCTCACACTTTAAAAATGGTCAGAACTAAAGACAGATGAGCAACAAACACATGCTTCCCAAAGACACTAAAAACTTTTATTTAATTACCTACAAGACTCTGACAAAATGGGCAATACTCTTTGCAGTCCAGGAAAGGTTGAGTTTAGCCTAGCTTAGCAGAAGGACTGGAAGCAGGGGGAAACTGCTAGCCTAGCTCAACTAAAAGAGAAAAATACACTTTCAAACATCATTGAAGCTGAGTGATTCTTAGCTGACAAGCTAGTCACTAATGCTAACGGGACCTAGGAGCTAACTCGATATATTTTTCTCACACTTTAAAAATGGTCAGAACTAAAGCCAGATGAGCTACAAACACATGCTCCTCAAGGACACAAAAAATAAATGATGTTATTGCCTAAAAGTCCAGGAAAGGTCCAAGGTGTGTTTAGCCTAGCTTAGCACAACGGGTAAGGGTTAACTGCTAGCTTAGCTCCACTCCACCTTCCAACAGCTCTGGGTTTGTCTGATTCACGTGTTGTATCTTCTTGTAAACTGAATTAAACTCACCGTAGCTTTCAGAGTTTATTACATGACTTTTGGTTTATAAAGAGTCTCAGTTTTTTGAGGCACACCAGATACAAGCTTGCTCACTTGCTAGCCAGATAATTGTCTTGCTAGCAAGGTTGCTTGCTGTCTTACGCGCAATCGTGCAGAGACTATGACTTTTTGTAGAAGTTATTAAATGACATGTACACAGGAGATGCTAAGCTATTTCTAGCAACAAAACAAGACATCAACAGAACAATCACAAACATGTTTTGCTGTGGAAATAAAGCTGACTGCAGGACTGGTCACTACTTTGTTAGCTAACAAGACACAACATGTAAAAAACAGAGCTGGAGCTGTTGGAAGGTGGATTTTTTTTCCTCTTCCGATGGACCTAGGCTAGCACTTTCCCCGTTTCCAGTCTTTGTGCTAAGCTAGGCTAAAAACATCCAGGATTGGACAGAGATTTCCACAATGTTCTTTTAAGTATTAAGATAAATCAGTTTTTGTGTTTTTGAAAAGCACACGGCACATCTTTTAAATATTTTAATGGTAAAAGATATTAATTCTGTCCAGTATTTTCGTACTGTTTTGAAAACTGCAGCTTTCTACTGGATTAAAGAATAGTGTTACGGTGTTTTTCTTTTTGTTTTGTGTCTTGTCATATTACTTTTCCCAACATTTCAAAACATATAATTTTGTCCCAAACAGGTACTACAGAGCATGGAGCTGCCATGACATATTCTCCTCGAATAACTCAACACAGACGGAGTTTTTGTAGTTTTTTGGCCGTTTCTCTGACCACAGGCAGCTGGGCCTGATAAGCTCATTAAAGCCCAAATCAAACTGTTACTGGAACATTATCAGCAGCTCCACCCAAACACTGCAACTGACGCTTACCGCTTGACTGGTCAAGCGAGGCCTGCCGAGAGCTGCGAGAGAGAGATAACAACATCTACTGTGCAGCTAAATGCTTGTCAAAAGAAGAAATGTAATTCCATTTCCTTATAGTGTATGATCATGCAAATAGTTTTATTTGCAGCTGTGTTTGAGATCTGCGTCTCCGCTGAAAAAACACAGATGAGGTGAATGGGAGTTTTGTTGCGGCTCACGGCATTTATAGGTTGAATTTAGAAGAGAAAAAAAACATGGTTTTACAAAAAATTTAAAATAAACTGCAAACAGAGTTCTTCCACATACAACATAAAGACAACAGGACATTTATTCAGTGGTAGATGAAGTATTCAGATCCTTTACTCAAGTAAAAGTACTTATACCACACTGTAAAAGTACTCTGTTAGTAAAAGTAAAAATGTTACTTAAGCATGTAAGTATAATCAGGAAAATGTACTTAAAGTATTAAAACTTACAATACTTTATCCCCTGAGACTGTTATGCTAGTTTATATTATATCAGATCATTGTTCCTCATGCATTCATGTAAAATCAGGATTTTACTGCTGTAGTTGTTGAGCTGGAACTCATTTTGAACATCATGCTGTGTAGAAGAAGACCTGAAACCAAGCGGCAACCCTCCGGTCTCCTGGGTGAAGCCAATCTGGAACTAACAAACACTGCAATTCTGAGGCTGCCTCCAAAAGGGATCCATGTTAAAAGGCCCAATTTTACAGCAGTAATAAACATGTTTACAGCCTGGTTCAGATTTATATAGCTAATTTTGCCCTTCATGAAAACTGTTTATAACTCAACCGTTTAAATTAAATGAAGCCTTAAAGTTCTGCATTATTAGGGGTGTGGCGGCTTTGATTGACAGGTGGCTGCTGCTCGCCCAACATCTCCCTATAGACTCTTAGGCTGCGTTCAGACTGCAGGCCTTAATGCTCCATTAAATTTTTTTCCCAGATCAGATTTTCTTGTTCAACAGTTCACTTTATTGTTTAAATTTGGCCCATATCAGACTCCAGCGTGAACTGTCCACAGCCTGAAAGTGACCCGCATGCCCAGAAGAAGAACAGGACGTCACACGCAGCAGCAGCTGTCTTGCAGACGTGAACAGAGCAACAGAGGTTAGCTCATACTTGCTAACTGTTTTTCGTTGTCCTCTCGTGGGTCTGTACGGACAAGTAGCACGTACGTAAATCAGAAGAGAGCTCGCAGTCCGGTGGAAGAAAAGGAATGACAGCGAGGTAGAGAGCCACTTGATTGATAATGGCATTCGAGGAGGAGATTTTTTGTTCACCAAGGATGTCACAGTGGGGGATTGAACACGGGTCTCTCACCCCAAAGGCATGTGTCTTATCCACTGCTCCATCACCACCCCGCAGTTATCTACATCACGTTAGAGCGACTAAGGAACCATAACTGATTTCATGAGCCACTTGCAGTTTCACTGTACCGGCTGTGTGTACTTATTGCATGGCTTAATCCTTAAGACAAGCAAATGCTATTGACAGGATCAACAAGGTAGGTAAGCTGTACGCCCTTGGGCACCGCCAAGAGCGGACGATCGTAACGGCCTACACGCCGGGGGTGATGAGGCACGCCCGCCACGCTGCCTGCGCCTGGTGTAGCGCTCGGAGCTGAGGGGCTAAGCAACATCGGGTCATCTGCTTGTGGTTAAGCAGCCGGTCGCAGCCTCTGGTGGGAGGCTTCGCTCAGGGTTTGAGAAACACCGTGCTTGCCCTAACGGCCATGGAGGGCGAACCCACAGGTCGGAGGAACCGTCCACCCAAACACCAGCGCTAGGCTGGCCAGCAGGGACCCTCCGATACCTGGACGTGTTCCTGTCTACCATCAATCTACACAACTGTCAATGTGTACGGGAAATGACAGAAGGTTAAAATTTACTGTTATTGTGCTAAAGGTAATGGGGAAAAATTGGTTACTCCTAAATTTTGTGGTGGTGCACGTGAAAGAAAAATGTATGCAAAAAGTTAGCCTGGAGCTCTGTTTAGCATTTTAGTGTCTGGCAGTCAGTCTGTGAGTTACAAGGTCGGTAAGAAACCAATTCAGGAACATGATTCAACACAATTTAAAGAATTTCCCCTCGAGGATCAATAACGTATTTCTGATTCTGAATCTGATGATGAGGCACCGACACCAAACACACAAACGTAGGCAGACACAAGCACTCACACACATTTACAAAAAGCTCATGTTAAATAAATCCCTCAGGAGTTCATGAAGTCACAGCTGCTGCTGCTTCTTCCTCCTCCTCTTCTATCTTTGCTCTTTCATCAGCTGAGCTTGAGCTCGCCTCCTCATGGCGAGTGCCGTCATCGTGCAGCAGACCGTCAGGCAGGGGAAGGAGGCGCAGGCCAGCAGGAGGCGCCCCTCTCCAAACTCCCTGACCAGCGCCGGCCGCCGCCACAGAAAGTCCTGGAACAGCGCCTCCTGCTGGACCAACGTGCAGAAGGACAGCAGGATGTGGAAGAGTTGGTGGCCGTGGCCGACGATGTCAAAGCGGCCGGGGGAGAAGCGCTCAGGTATGGGGCAAGAGAAGAAGAAGGCTGACAGCAGAAACAGCACCACCTGGTGGAGAAATGATAGAAGACAGTTAAAGACCACAACACAGTTTTTTCTGTACATGTACTTTCTCCAGAGACCTGATTTCACCAGCTGGGTTTCTCTTGAAGGACGCTGTTTTCTTGGCCATGTGTACACGTAACTTATCTAATCCGCTTTCTACAAACACGTGTAGGACGAACGGGGAAAGTATCTCAGTGACAGGTTGAAAAGAGAGATATTAAAAATATTCGGACTAAAACTGAAACCAAGTCTAATCAGGTCAGTTTCCACCGCTGATGTCCTGGTTTATTTATAGTGTGGAGGAGGACATCCTGACTGATATGCCGTTTTTCCGTTCCAGCTCAACTCGACTCTACTCAACTTGGTTTTGCCCTGCCGTCCTCCGTTTTTCATTGCAGATAGTACCATTCAGTGGGCCTGATTTGCTAACATCCCGAATAAAAAGCACTACACTGCGTGTGGATTCTAAAATATTGCACATGCAATTGCAGTACCAGTTATAGGTGATCAACTAAGAATTATTGCTTAGATGACAACAGTAGAAAACACAATGGAGGCGGCTAAATTCTTCCATCTCACGGAGAAAAGAAGTCCGGTCAAAACGAAATTTGCTTTATTGGCATGAATGTTAATACAACAGTATCGCCAAATACAAAAAAACTATTCAATTCATATAGTTCATTGAATAAATAAAATAACTTTCTTTCTTCATATTGGATATAATATTGTAATATTGTTAATTTCTCTACGTTTTCTTTCATTACAGCTGTGTCTCTCTGCAACGATAAGAGCAGCCATCTCTGTGCAACACTTGCCGGTTTGCACCTTTACTTCAAATGTATTAAATACAGATGCTGTTGCACTCACATGAAATTGCGTTTAGGCTTGGTAGATTACATTGTGTCCATCCATCCATCTCACTACTTTGCACAATAAAATTTAAACACCCTAATTGCATATTCCTTAAAGCAAAAGTAGTAAATGAACAACAGGTGCTATCTTGCACTTTTGAAAGACGTCACTCTGCGTGCACACCGTTAGTAGATCAGCCACCTGCGGAGCTCCTCAACTCCTAAAACTTTCAAGCACATTTTTGTTCCACCATCACTTTTCATAAAACTGTCAATATTCGAAAATCTACACGTTTGATTTCTCACGTCAAAACTTCTCAGAAGTGGATTTAGTGATGAAATAACGTATGAAAATTGTAAAATATAAAACTTTCTGATGATGATGCAGTGAATAGTGACGATTCTCTCTGACCAATCAGTGGTCTGCTGTGTTTTCACGTCACATTTTAGTATCGCCTCAGCTCGCTTAGAACCTCAACGGAGGAGATACGTGGAAAAGTACCAGGTAACAGGAACAGGTAGAATCGTTCCACAATGGAAAACCAAAAAAAGGCGAGTAGAGTGCGGTGGAAAAGGGGCTTTAGATGTAGAAACTAATCACGCTCTGTGCAATCAGTAACTCATACTGTAGTACAATTAAATATGTCACGATCACTTGCATTTATTATTTTCATAAATCATTGAAAGTAAAAATTCATAATGTGGGTAGAGTATCTAACCACTGTGGCAGACAGACTCTGGAGCCTCGTCAGAAGATTTAAATGATTGATCAAGTTATCGGTGCTGTGTGATCACCTCTCATATATGTTCTCTAACAGACTGCAGATGGAGCACGACAATATTTCACCACCCAGTTCTCATAAAGCTGTCTTAATATAATTTTGATTGATATTTCAATATACTACATAAAGAAATTGTAGATCAACATGAAACAGACAAAACTCAACATACATGAAAAGTGTTTTGTACTTTTAGAGAGATGCCAGTATAGAAAATAAGCCCCACATCTTGCAAACGCACCGACACCAGAGACTGGTAGGTAGGTTGTGAAGGTTGTGCACCATGGTGTTACGAACCATATTAATGTTTGTTGTGGCAAACTCTGACTGTTTCACAAGCACTTGTTGTAGGTCATGTGACTTGTGTAGCATAGTTAAGGTCCGGTCGCCTGACGCGAAACACTCATTTGTGATGTTTAGAAACAGTTAAGAGTTCACATAAACGTGTTGTCCATTTACCTGCGTGACCTGGTTGCATAAGTGAGCGTAACCACATACTAACTGGTTAACAGATATTTGGAAGTGTTATGCTGATGCTGAGTAAGAAGCGCCACCTGCAGGCAGTGCAGTGGCAGTGCAGAGTTGCTCGCCCAGCTGCCAGTGATGAGACGATGGGCGATGGGGCTGATGTCCAGCAGGTAGGCCACGCCCATCGGCACCACTTGGCAGAGCTTCCTGTGGAGCGGGTACGGCCGCCGGAAACGAAGCTTCGCATAACAGCAGGCGGCGCAGGAGAACCAGGCGAGGAGGGCGGCGGCCGGGAGGAAGACCTGCGAGAAAATGGCATCATGAGAACATCTGAACGCCTCGGCTGAGGACGGATGTAAGTCACTTTAACGCACCTGTCCCAGCATGCTCTGTGTCCAGGCACTGTCGGAGCTGTATAGGCACAGAGCCAGAGCGCAGCCATACTGGTAGACGGCCACGCCCACGTAGTCCAGGAAGAACAGCGAGTAATGCGCCTGCTCCGAGCGGGACTGCAACAGGTGAGCCGTAGCACTGCAACACGCAACACAAGGGCCGTTAGTCAAAGCTGGAGAGTGAACGTTCGACTTCATCAGGTGGACACAAACACCAATCAGGCGACCCGATGTTCTGTGTTCGCTGGCCGTGGAAGCAATCAGCTGTTTGATAACTCACTTAGGTGAGATGATGAGCAGCGCAGGGGTGGGGTATAAAAACACTGCTGTCAAGTCGGACATATCCCACTTTGTGTCTACCGGAAAAAAACAATTGCGGACACGGGACAAGTACAGCCGCCTTGCGTCCATGAGGTTTTAATATAAGTGACATGGTGATGTTTTGCATCGCAGCGGAAGTCCGTGAGAATATCTAACCAGCATGCCTCATGTTTAGTCCAGCATGCATCACGTTACTTCAGCTCTGCGCAGCGCCGCATCAAGTCAAAGGCACCTATTAATAGAGCTCAACAGAGACCGTGCACTTGTTTCACAGCTCCAGAAGAAAATTCCCCATTTGTTTACATAATTTCCATAAAGATTTTTAAGCCTTGAACTGAACCAACCAGCTATGATGTAAATCATGACCATAAAACATTTGAATCAGAGTATCAGTTTCATGTAGATGTGTTCAGGACTGTTATTGACCATATAAAGTTTGGTACAGAGTACAGACCTTGTAAAAGGCCATAAATGGGCTGTAATTGCACATTTAAGCCAAAATGGCTGACTTCCTGTCTGATTTCAGGTATGGCTCCAAGAGGCTTTTTTGTGCATCTTGGGATGATACATGTACCACAAACATTTTGTGTATCTTGGTGATTCAGTGCGCAGGGGCTGCATCTTTGAAGGGACACTTCCTGATTCTAGCAGATGGCGCTACGAGGTTGAGTGAATTTTGACCTGTGATATGAGCATGTACAGTGAAGTTACAACAACTTCCTGTGTAATGGCGAAGCATTGAACTTTGACGCCACACCAAGGACACACCGTTATCCGAAAACTCACAAGATTCACGACATAGCATCATCAATGTCTTAAGGCTCTTCTGAGACTGTTTTGAAGCAGGTGGGATTAGTAGAACAGCTCTTGTTGCCAGCAGGTGGCGCTATGACATTGTACGTTTGTTGGCATATGGATGTGTTCTGGGCGGGACTCTCCTACATGGACAGTTTGGTGCAGATCTGAGCATGTACACTGAAGTTATAACAACTTCCTGTTTCACTGCGAATCATCGATTTTGGACGCCACGCCACGGACACGCCCATTGACCAAAACTCACAGATAGCTATGATCGTCTTAGCTCTGTTTGACTGTCTCTCTGCTCCAGGATGCTTCACTGTGTGCTGCACTTTATCAGAGGTGCTGAAGTGGACGTGTGCTGATATTTCTGTCTGATCACAAGTGTTTTCAGTTTTGGTTTTCTACCTCTGATGAAGAGCAGTGAGCTCGTCTCAGTCAGGCTCTCTGTCTGTCAGACGGTCTAAAGGGGGCAGCTGCCTACGACCATATCAGCAGAGCACTAAAGCAGGGTAATGCACAGCAGGTAGATTTTGTTAAAATATAATGACCTCATTCTCACTATATCTCCTAATATTATATCTTAAATTATTATTCTGCAAATGTCAGAGAACACAGATATGTGGGAGAGATTTTTAATGCGCAGAAAATTTTGAACCTGAGCAGAAAACCTGCTGAAACAGAGGAGCTATTAAGGTGCACAGGTTTAAAACTGAATAAAATTGAATTCATCTATCATTGAGGTGAAGAGGTTCAACCTGCATATTTAAAGACTTTAGGTTACTTATGCCTGCATGTGTGTTGGCTCAGCAGGGATGAAATAAAATGAGAAACAGGAGAAATATATTTGACAGAATTATTACAGAATGCCTGAGAGCCCTACAGCACTATATTACACTATTTTTATTTTATATAAATAAAGACATTTCCTCAATGAATTGGTGCAGAAAAAGTCACCAGAATGCAAGAAATTAAGTGCTTAAAGACCAAATTTTCAGGGGGAACCTGAAACCCTTCGTAATATTTGTAGTTTAAATTATTATCAGTAGTAATTATAAAAAAATCATAAATAGATGATATTTAATAATTAAAATGTAGTTCACTGATTTATAGGGTTCAGTTTGACTGATGGCATAACAAGGTTGCAAAGTTTTTGATGGTTGATACAAGTAGAGGTCATTTACTGTTGCTTTATAGACTGGGGGGGGCAGGTGAGAACATGAAAGATTTCTGGACCCCCAATGTTTCAAGAGCCTGGAAACACCCCTGGTCAGAGTCACATATATTCTGAAGCGAGGACGTCTGTCTGTTTACTCTGTTCTCTTGTCTGCTTGGTTGGTTTTGGTTTCAGTCAGCATGTTGGTCTGTTTTGTCTGTGTGCATTTTTCTGTTCGGGTGTTTGTGTCGTGTTTGTTTCTGTCTGCTTCCTTCTGTGAGTGCCGGTCCTCGTTTCACCGTATTTCCCTGTTTCCTGTTTTAGTTTGATCTCATGTGCTAACCATGTATATACTGCCTTCTGTTCTGTCCTTCCGGATCATTGTAGCTTGTTGTGCTCTGTCTTTGTCGTGCGGTGTTTCCTCCTTGGGTCGTCTGCTTGGACCTGCCTGTTCGTGCTTGTGGATATCTGGAGTATATTTTACACCTGATTACATCATTTGGATTTTGTCTTTTTGTTTCACCTTGTTTGTACTGTATCATTTTGAAGCTAAATGTTAACCACAGCATGCTAACATGCTCACAATGATTTTTTGCACCTTTACCCTCTTAGTTTAGCGTGTTAGCATGCTAATATTAGCTAATCAGCAGTAAACACAGCGTACAGCTGAACCTGATGGTGCTAGATAAAAAGTCAGAGTCACCAAGTTCATCCTGAGGGGAACGTGAAGGTCTGGACCACATTTCATCACAATCCATCCAAAATCTGCTGAGAGTCCGGACAGACGTGCTGGTTGTATTTTGTTTATATATAAATAAAAATAATTTATATAATTAAAATATTAACAAATAATTACTTTTGTTGGCTCACCTGCAGCTCAGGTATGTGACAGCGGAGAAGACATAGTGAACCAGAGGCAGCGAGGAGACGTCCACAGAAAACCCCTGACCCTCTGGACCCTGGAGCCGAAAACCCAGTATCCCCTGTGGAGGTCAAAGGTCAGACGTTATGAGCTCAAACACTAAGCGTTCAAACACCAGGAGGTGAAACAGACTGTAAGAGTTTAGTACCCCTCCCTGCAGAACGGTGAACGCCATGAACCTCAGCGCTACGCAGACGGCAGCCAGCAGGTGGCTCCACACGTTCAGAGTCTCGTTGTGGATCTGGAAGAGGCTGAGGACGTAACAGCGCCACGACAGGCCCACGGGACGGTACCCAGACAGGATGAACCGCTCCCTAAACAGAGGGGGGACGTCCACGTCTCGGACGGTCGAGGGAAGGGAGGGGAGGAGGCGGTCCAGCAGAGGAAGGAAGGTGAGGCACAGCGAGGGAGGAACGAACGACACCTGAGGCATGATGGGAGAGGATCCTGAGTTTGTCTCGTTGCTTGTTGTTTTGTACGAAGCTGAAACAATTCAAAGAAATTCATTAAAATACAAAACAGGCAGGTGATGGGTAACACAGGTACGTTGGTGGTTACACAGGTACGTTGGTGGTTACACAGGTACGTTGGTGGTTGCACAGGTACGTTGGTGGTTAGGTGGTTACACGGTTGGTGGTTACGTTGGTGGTTAGGTGGTTCAACAGGTACGTTGGTGGTTACGTTGGTGGTTAGGTGGTTCGACAGGTACGTTGATGGTTACTTTGGTGGTTCAACAGGTACGTTGGTGGTTAAGTTGGTGGTTCGACAGGTACGTTGGTGGTTACGTTGGTGGTTCGACAGGTACATTGGTGGTTACGTTGGTGGTTGCACAGGTACGTTGGTGGTTAGGTGGTTCGACAGGTACGTTGGTGGTTACGTTGGTGGTTCGAGAGGTACGTTGGTGGTTACGTTGGTGGTTGCACAGGTACGTTGGTGGTTACACAGGTACGCTGGTGGTTACACAGGTACGCTGGTGGTTACACAGGTACGTTGGTGATTAGGTGGTTACACAGGTACGTTGGTGGTTATGTTGGTGGTTGCACAAGTACGCTGGTGGTTACACAGGTACGCTGGTGGTTACACAGGTACAATGGTGGTTAGGTGGTTACACAGGTACGTTGGTGATTAGGTGGTTACACAGGTACGTTGGTGGTTACGTTGGTGGTTCGACAGGTACGTTGCTGATTCGACAGGTACGTTGGTGGTTGCACAGGTACGTTGGTGGTTACACAGGTACGCTGGTGGTTACCCAGGTACGTTGGTAGTTACACCACTTCTTCTCCAAAGCAACAGCTGCTGAGGCTCATGGGTAATGTAGTATTTAGAGCTGTACACCAAACTGAAACAGATTCCTCAGAAAACAAAGTTGAAATAATTTAAACAGATGGTCAGAAGAAAAGCTTAAAGTACTCCTGTAATCAGGTGCCCCTCCAGCTCCTGCCAGGTAACGTTTTAGAAGTATTCTGATACTGATTAATAATACGAAGCTGACGAGACAGTCAGGCATGACATTTAACATATTTCAGTATATTTGAAGGTAATTAAGCATATTGGCCTGCTGTTTTCTACAAACAAACCTTTAAGAGGATCAGAAACAAAACGGAAGAAATGCTAAATCACAACCAACAGTAAGAAAGTCAAAGGTCAGAGGTCACCTGACAGACACAACAGAGGAAACCCACCTACCTGAGTTCTTCAGGACGCGAGCGGATGCATGCTCTGTTCTGCTGGCCTGAGAGAGTCACTGACCCGTTCGCTGTTCGGTCTTGCAGACTGGCCGCTGTCACATGCATGGTGACACACACACACACGTCTAACCTCCACAATGTGTTCTTGTTTTCAGCTAATTCGAGCTGATTTCAGTCTGAATGAGTTTTTCTCTGCAGAGGATTTCAGACATCATGAGACTCAAAACACACACACACACACTAATACACACCTCTGTGTTACACTCTGTTTTCCCACTCCACTAAAATGAGCACATGGTAGCGTTTTAAAGGCATTTGTATCCTGTAAACAAAATATATATTTGCCTCTGTTGATTCTTTTTATTTCTTTCAGTGATTCTGCGTCTTATCAGGTTCAAAAACAATAAGAAAACAGAGTGAATTAAGCAACCTGAACTAGATTAATAAAACTAGACACTGTAACTGAATTCAATGAAAACACGTATTAAGAACTTCCCACATGGTTTTCCTCCATTTCAGCTTCGACTCTTTTAATGATGTCACCTCGTCGTGTTCTCTTCTTCTTCTGCTGCGGTGGTTTAACGGCAGCGACCGGAGAATCATCTCCACCAGCTGTTTATCTCTGTCAGCCACAACTTCAGCTAGTGATTATTGTGCTTCCCTGCCACATACTAACTCTCCTGTCTCATCCAGTCCTGCAGCACATATATACCTCCTCATCCTCCCAGCCTTTTGTTCTGCCTGCCTGACTCATCATCCTCTGCAGGACCCCTTTTTCGGGTTTGCTAGAGGTTGTGTGAAGCTCTGCTGGGATTTATATTGTGTCTAAAAATTATTATTGTGCATAAAATAAAAGAAATTGGGAACCTCTGAGAGAATAGAGAAGTTGACAGTGTCTTTTTATTAGTACAGATCATGTCACTCTTCACACTTTATGTTTGCATCAGGGCTGATACAGTATTACTCCATACTACACTCCAATACTACAACAAGGTAAATTATGGATTCCACAGAGTTAAATCATATTAAATATCAAATTCCCTATTTGTTCGGGTCGAGATGGATCAGTTTTGGTTGGTTTTGGCCACAACACAGGTGCAGCCGACAGCCACAGAGAGATACGATGCGGTGTAGCAGTGAACCCCGCGCTGCTGGTTCAGGACCAGGACGTTCTGGTAGATGGGGACGGAGTTCATGTTGTATTTGTTGGGCTGTCCGGGGTTGGGACTGGAACAGAAGCTGTTGCTGCACTCGGCTTCCCAGAGGGTGGCGGGGATCCGGTTCTTCACGGTGGACGACCTGAGCAAACGACAGCAACGGAGTCAAAACAAGATCAAGTGCTGCCCACAGATACGGAGTCCCACAGGTGACAAAAATCACTACGATTTTAAGTTGTCTTTAGGAAGGACCATGTCAATAGAATAATTAAATGTTCAGTAGGACAGAAAATTTTTTGCAAAATAGGGGTTTAATGAGAGGATATAACACAATTTAAAGCCAGTAATGTGAGAAAAAAGGGGAAAAATATTTGTATTTTACTTATTTATTTGTTTAAATCCATTTACATAAATTTATGGTACATTGTATATTTGTGGATGAATATGCTCACAACACAATCTCACTCCCAACTTGTCACATATGGACAAATTAGAAACAATAAATATGTAATGTCCCATTAGACTTTCAAAATAAAACTAGTGGTTAATGTTGTGAAACGTTGAAATGTTGTTTAGGAAAAGATCAAGGGTTGGGGTTAAATTAAGTACATTACTTACATAAGTTATGGTACATAACTAAAAAGAATCAAGGTTGACTTTGTGCTTCATATAGGAAACCACCTCCTTACTTGGACTTTTCTGTTTATTTATTTATTACGCCCATTTTTAGCGTTGAATTACGTCTGTAAAGGGTCTTGACTATGAGTCCGTATGTGAGAACTATGTGAGAACGGCTTAAAAAAAGTTAGGTTACAGAAGTTGAGGTGTAAAAGGGGGAATATTCCTACGTTTCTGTCAATCTAGCAAATACATTATGAAGTAATTAGTTTTAATTCTTGTGTAAGAAAAGAAAATAGAAGTGTAAACTTTAAGGTAAATTTTGTTGTATACGCATGTTTACTACCAAAAAATATCTGCCCTCATCTCGCAGAGAGGACACATTATTACTATAGAGTATCAGATGCATTTGTTTATAAATGGGCAGAAATGACATTTCTTCACCAACCAGTGGTGTTACCTCAAATACTGTACTTTTTATTTTATGCAAAAATCTTTTAATAGAGTTGTATCCCTTGGCTAACGATGGCTAAGACACACAAAAAAGTTGAAAGTGAATTATGTAATAAACTCTTATTAGGGAGATATTTATTGATTTCTTAGCAAAATAAATTTCAATTTCTGTTGGGATTTATTATTTATTAATTAGTCTAATCATGATGATTAGTTGATTTACTGGTGACCATACTGTATGTGCTTTTCATCTGAGTAGCTGGATGCATTAAAGATACCTAACATAAGTTGTTAATATGATTACGAGAGAACTCAAAATATACTGTAACAACATACAGAAACTGCTCGCCGTGGCTTTTTTGGGACTCCGTACAAAAAAGAAAGCGGCTCTGCATTTACTTCACTGGTTTAATCCATATCTCGTATAATTGTGGCTCCCCCACACAAACACACAGGTTTATAATGTATATGATTTATTTGTTAATTTAAATCCGAATCTTCGCTCTAAATTTCTAATTTCTAACATAGATGTAAATATGGATGTATCAGAGGAAATGTTTGAGCGATGCTCATTTTGTGTCCATTATCTCATAGTTTATTTCTGTCTTATCAAGACTTTTAACAGTTGATATCAGCTGATATTCAGCTGACTTGCCGCTTCATTGAAACTTAGTTATCACCTTTTTATATACTCTATTTGAATTCTCGGAGATGTGGTCTGGAAGCCGAGTAATTTGTCATCATTTCGTACGGTTAATAAAGTTATTGCTCACCAGCAGCAATAATATAATTGAAATTTTATTTAAAAGTTGTTACGCTCATAAGTTAATCTCTATTTACTTGTCAGGTTCATATTATTTGATTCTTTTGACATTTACTCTTTAATTAATTTTTTTGTGTTTCTTTCTCAGTTCTTTCTTATTTATTTATTTTTACTAAAATGCTGACAGAGATAAATTAAGTTCTGTTTAGTTGAGAAAGACTAATAAACCAGGATCCACTGATATTTAGAACAACACAACACGATCAGAGTCACTCACACTCGGACAGACGTTTATTTGCTGTTTCGCTATAAAATTGTTCAGACATTCATTCATCCAGTCACTCACTCATTCATCCCTTTATGTATTTACTGTCTCTGCATCGTCAGACTGACCTCCAGCTCCACGGAGACAGCGATCTGCTGTGGATGTTCCCGTTTCCCTCAGACGAGGAGGCGACGTCTGAGGAGAACGCCAACGTGGAGTCACAACCAGGAGGAGAAGCATTCACCGAGGAGGAGACGACCCACAATACACTGCAAAATACCTGCAGAGAGGACACATTATTACTATAGAGTATCAGATGCATTTGTTTATAAATGGGCAGAAATGACATTTCTTCACCAACCAGTGGTGTTACCTCAAATACTGTACTTTTTATTTTATGCAAAAATCTTTTAATAGAGTTGTATCCCTTGGCTAACGATGGCTAAGACACACAAAAAAGTTGAAAGTGAATTATGTAATAAACTCTTATTAGGGAGATATTTATTGATTTCTTAGCAAAAATAAATTTCAATTTCTGTTGGGATTTATTATTTATTAATTAGTCTAATCATGATGATTAGTTGATTTACTGGTGACCATACTGTATGTGCTTTTCATCTGAGTAGCTGGATGCATTAAAGATACCTAACATAAGTTGTTAATATGATTACGAGAGAACTCAAAATATACTGTAACAACATACAGAAACTGCTCGCCGTGGCTTTTTTGGGACTCCGTACAAAAAAGAAAGCGGCTCTGCATTTACTTCACTGGTTTAATCCATATCTCGTATAATTGTGGCTCCCCCACACAAACACACAGGTTTATAATGTATATGATTTATTTGTTAATTTAAATCCGAATCTTCGCTCTAAATTTCTAATTTCTAACATAGATGTAAATATGGATGTATCAGAGGAAATGTTTGAGCGATGCTCATTTTGTGTCCATTATCTCATAGTTTATTTTTGTCTTATCAAGACTTTTAACAGTTGATATCAGCTGATATTCAGCTGACTTGCCGCTTCATTGAAACTTAGTTATCCCCTTTTTATATACTCTATTTGAATTCTCGGAGATGTGGTCTGGAAGCAGAGTAATTTGTCATCATTTCGTACGGTTAATAAAGTTATTGCTCACCAGCAGATTGCAGGCACTGTGTCTCGGCTTCATGTTGTCGGCGTGGTCGTGTGCAGCTTCTGTGCGCCAACTGCTCTGAGTTCAGGTGTTTTTATGATGGTCTTACTGTCAGATCTGATCACAGCAGATCCCTTGAGCTGATAAGCAGACGTGACATGAGAGGGGAGATTCCTCTTATCTCGCCTGCTGATCGACACATTGTGAACAACACGTTTTCTTCACTGATAACATCTATCAGATAGATGGTAAAACAACTGACACGACTCAGGATAAGCTGAGCTGACATTTCTTCTGATTCCCACACGCTTTATTATGTTCTGTTCTATTTTCAATCCAAGTTTCGAAAGATACTAAATACGTTACAATTGGAAAAATGTGTCTAAAATGATGCACAAGACATATAGAATATACAGTATGTACATGTCGAAGGTGGATATGATATACAGGTACACATACATGTACACATGTACACAGTGTGATGGAGCATAGTGCAAAGGATGCTGGAAAAAAAAAAAAGACCTATGACCTTAAGACCTGAGGTAGGTGTATTGGTATACAGTATATACAATATGACATAGTATGAACAGCACTGAAATAGAGAATGATGAATAAATAAATAATAAGTGGTAACCAGTAAACAGGAGGCTGATTAGAGGCAGAGTTACTGGGTTGTTGCACAGGAGGGAGGAGCTGGAACAGGTTGTGTCCGGGGTGAAATGGACTCTGGAAATGTATAAGTCCTGAATGGAGGGCAGGTTGGCACAGATTATTTTTTCTGCAGTCCTGACTGTCCGTTGTAGTCTGCTCCTGTCCTTTTTGGTGGCAGATCCAAACAGACAGTGATGGAGGTGCAGAGGACAGACTGGATGATGGCTGTGTAGAAGTGGATCAGCAGCTCCTTAGGCAGGTTGAGCTTCCTGAGCTGGAGCAGGAAGTTCGTCCTCTGCTGGGCCTTCTTGATGATGGTGTCAGTGTTGGGCTCCCACTTCAGGTCCTGGGATATAGTGGATCCCAGAAACCTGAAGGATTCCACAGCAGACACAGGGCTGTTGAGTATGGTGATGGGGGGCAGAGTGGGGGGGCTCCTCCTGAAGTCCACAATCATCTCCACAGTTTTGAGCGTGTTAAGCTCCAGGTTGTTCTGGCCGCACCAGAGAGCCAGCTGATCAACCTCCCGTCTGTAGGCCGACGCATCACCGTCCCGGATGAGGCCGATGTGTTCATTGTTGTGTCATCAGCGAACTTCAGGAGTTTGACAGATGGGTCTCCTGAGGTGCAGTCGTTGGTGTAGAGGGAGAAGAGCAGTGGGGAGAGCACACAACCCTGGGGGGCGCCAGTGCTGATTGTCCGGGTGCTGGATGTGATGTTCTCCAGCCTCACCTGCTGACTCCTGTCAGTCAGGAAGTCTGTGATCCACTGACAGGTGGAGGCTGGCACAGTGAGCTGGGTGAGTTTGGTGCTGAGGATGTCCAGGATGATGGTGTTGAACGGCGAGCTGAAGTCCACGAACAGGATCCTTGCATATGTCCCTGGAGAGTCGAGGTGTTGCAGGATGTGATGCAGTCCCAAGTTGACAGCATCATCCACTGACCTGTTAGCCCTGTAGGCAAACTGCAGGGGGTCCAGCAGGGGGCCTGTAATGTCCTTCAGGTGGGCCAACACCAGTCTTTCAAAGGACTTCATGACTGCAGATGTCAGGGCGACGGGCCTGTAGTCATTTAGTCCAGAGATGGAGGGTTTTTTTGGGACCGGGATGACTGTGGAGCGTTTGAAGCAGGAGGGAACTTCACACAGCTCCAGTGAAATGTTGAAGATCTGAGTGAAGATGGGGGCCAGCTGGTCCGCACAGATTTTCAGGCACGATGGTGAGACACCGTCAGGTCCAGGCGCCTTCCTGATCTTCTGCCTATGGAAGAGGTGGCTCACGTCCTCTTCACAGATCTTGAGTGCAGGTGCAGAGGAGGAAGGTGACTGTTTGAAGATGGTGTTGGAGCTGGGGAGAGGTGTGACCCTGGGCTTTTCAAACCTACAGTAGAAACCATTCAGATCGTCTGCCAGAAAGTGACGAATACAAATTAGAAGTATTGGAATTGTGGTATTGTGTTTTCTTCTCATTGCTCCAGTTTCAATCTGCATTTTGGAGCAATTCAAGATGATTAACTTCACGTGCAAAATCTACCTATGAATGCGTCTTTTTTAATATTGCATTTTCCCAAGTTCATAAATTTAAATTTGTCTTCATTTTCTGTCAATAAAGACAAAAAATACTTCCAAAATTACTTGTAATCTATTTCAAGCTGCTCATTCAACACTGCTCCCTGCTGATAATTTTTTTGTACTGGTATTTATCACAACTTCTTCTTATCTTATCACTTGATTTGAGTTTCAATATTCTATTTATATAATCTTTACTAAATGGTGTGTGTACTTTAAACCCTGTTAGTTTTGCTTCATATTGTATATTTTATAGATGCTCATGACGTGCAGAGGATTCATGTTTCTTATCTATTCCATGCCATCTTATCTTCAACTGTTACCCTTACTGTCAGGTAGTGCATTAATGTTTTATTGTTCATCAACAAACTAAATATTTTTAAGAACTGCCGAAGAAAAATGTATATCACCTGTCGAAACACACCTTTTACTTTAAAGTTTTTTTTTACTAGGTTATGATTTTTTTGTTTATTTAGTAATGATGTTTTTCTCAATCACTCAGTAAGAGTTTATTATACCAGGTTAGACCATAAGAAACATTAAAAACAGGACAAGCTTATTCTGATTAATTACAAATATATAATATACTTCAAATATATTAAAAATATAAATATGTAAAACTATTTCTGTCTGCTATTTGTGGCAGCCGATTCTAGATTTTATTTGGATGATTCTGAATTTTTATTTATAATTTAAAATTGTATTTTGAAGTTTATTCTTTTCTAAATTGTTTTTGAGGATTTGAAACAGAATTTTCTTTGAGGGAGCTTGATAATCAAATCTTGAAACTTAAGATTCAGACTTTTTTGGTAATTAGTTATATTTAAAATTTAATTAACATAGATATTTGTTGTTTACAAATTTCTATGAACAGGTTTCGCAACTCTGCTCCCTGATCCTGCTTTTTTACTGGGGTAAAAAAAAAATCTTCAGCATGCCAGAAAATATCTGGAAGGATGGAGGTACCAGATTAAAAAAATCAGTGGTGGAAAGTACATTTACCCAAACACCTGAGTAGATATACTTTTAACTCCACAACATTTGTGACAGCTTTACCAGTTAATTCACAAATAAAGATTTTACATTTAAAACCCATCGTTAAAGATAAAACAACTCATTCCAAACCAGGGTGACCAGACGTCATGAAAAATTCTGGAGAGTCCCGAATTACGAGCACTTGTCCCGACTCCTGTCCGGTTTGTCCCAAAAATTAGACTTAGCCTAATAAATCATTAAATACTGATCGTTGTGTAGTTCTCTTGCTCCAGCAGGGGTTGCAGGTTATCTGTACATTGTGTCAACAGCGTTGTTATAGCCACAAAGTAACACTCGTGATCTTTTCCCCTTTTTTCTAGTGGTTAGTGGAAGTTACAGTCGCGAGGAATACAGGGAAACAGGCAGCCACGGCGGAGAGATCTTCAAGTCATTTCAGTTTTATTTATATAGCATCAAATTCACAACAACAGTTATCTCATAGCGTCATAACATCCAACATGCGTGTTGCACACCGCACTGATGAAAGGAATAAAATAAAAATGGGGTATAAGATCACGATTTACCCGCTGTCACATTTCCACAGTTGTTGTATTTTTACAGGTGACTTTACACTGACTGTACCGGTAGCCCCCCCCCCCCCCCCCCCCCGATAACAAATTTCACTCATTTCATCTGGTCACCCTATTACAAACTAATGTCTATAAGTTGTCATCAACATCATCTGTTTGAGGCCAAATGGAGAATTGATCCAATATAACACCAAAAAAAAATTATAATTCAGAGCACAATGCAAACAGGATCAAATAATTTGTTGTCTCTTGCCATTGACTACCGTACATATTTTTGGACTTAGGCTTTGACTTATCTATTCCAGGAAAAAAACAGCATGTATGGTAGTTAACGGCAAGAGACAACAAATTTTTTGATCCCGTTTGAATTGTGCCCTGAATTAAATATATGGTATTTGTGAACTTATAATTATATAATAATTAATTGATTAATAATTTTTGACTTATAAATCTAATTTTGACCGTTAAAAGAATCGCAATTTGTCGCAAAACTGTTTAGACTGTGAATATATGGAATTACAAAGACCACAAACCCAAAAGTCATGTATGTGACGTCATAACTGTTTCTCTCAATGACTGAAGCTAACATCAAACAACTTCCATGATAATCCATGATAATAAATTTATTAATCCCCCATGGGGGACATTTAGACAGATGCAGTGTTATAAAGGTATTAACACACTATTTACACTATACAATCAATAATAATTATTTACAACCAGATAAATGTCTCAGATGTAATCAGGCACAAATCTGTCAGTTTGGTGCTGCGCTGTTGTGGAGCCTGATGGCTGACGGCACAAATGAGCCTCCAAAGCGCTTTGAGGCTCGGGGCTGGATGAGTCTGTGGCTGAAGGAGCTCCTGAGCTGCCTCAGCTCAGCATACAGAGGATCAGAGGGGTCGTCCATGATGGTTTTCAGCTTCCCGCTCATCCTCCTCTCAGTCACAGCCTCCACACTGTCCGCTTCCATCCCCACCACTGAGCTGGCCTTCCTCACCAGCTCGCCCAGTTTGTTGGCGCCACAAGTACCGATGCCCCCTCCCTAGCACACCACAGCGAAGAACATGACACTACAGACTGGTAGAACATCCGTAACAGCCTGGTGCTCACACTGAAGGACCTGAGTCTCCTCAGGAAGAACAGCCTGCTCTGTCCTTTCCTGTAGAGGGCCTCAGTGTTGCCTGTCCAGTCCAGTTTGTTGTTGAGTTGCACCCCCAGGAACCTGTAGATGTCCACCGTCTCTACCCCCTCTCCCCTTATCACAACAGGGGTGTGGGGCCTCTTGCTGCGTCTGAAGTCCACCACCAGCTCCTTGGTTTTTCCTGTGTTGAGCTTGAGGATGTTGCTGTCACACCAGCTGATGAAGCTCTCAATCA